CGCTCGTGAAGGGCCGCTCACTAGCACTCCACTGAAGCCAGGTCCTCAGGGCTCGCTGCCAAAAACCACCATCGCCATCGCCATCGCCAGCGCCACCGCCATCGCCAGCGGCGTCGACGTCCAATTTGCGACGGACATCCCGCCCCGGGGTAATTGGGTGGAGGACATGACCGCATGCCAACGACGTCGTAAATCGCGGCTGGCCGCTTTCGCATTATTTTGAGCGGCGGAAAACTGACGTCCCGAGTGAACAACGCAGACAGGCGCGTTTGACGGCACCTGCCACCTCCTGCTCAAGCTCCGAGCTCCGGGAGATGAGCTGACAGCTCCGGGGAAACTGAGACTGGTGACCTGTTTGTTGTCGAGCAGCCTAACCCGCCCGACCGGTGGAGAGACCACTGTGCGCCTTGTGTATCAGTATCGGTATCAGTATAATAGAAACCATCCACATGGTGGCTGTTATGGTTTCACGCCATGTATATACAGCATGAAAAGGCCACACACAAAAGGTATACAACAATGATACGAGCAGTAGTCAAGGCGCTGAAACGGACCTATCAACGCACTATGGGTCGGATCAGATAGGCTGTCAGTGGTTAAAATCATACCGCATATGGCGGTCTTAAACGCGCTCCGTGTTGTGGCATGGTGAACGTTCGATGGTACGTGGTTCCAGGCGGTGCGTTCAATGTGTGGGCTGCTCCTCACAGGGACCCTTTGGTCCCTGTGGGGACGGCACGGACAACGGACACAGTTCGCTCCTCAGAAGCATCTCTGTGAATCACGTGCGGAAAACTTCACAATCACGCACCGAAGACTTCACAATCACGCGCCAAAGACTTAACAATCACGTGCGGAAGACTTCACAATCACGTGCGGAAGACTTCACGATCACGTGCCGAAGACTTCATGATCACGTACGGAAGACTTCACGATCACGTGCGGAAGACTTAAAAATCACGCGCGGAAGACTTCACGATCACGTGCGGAAGACCTCACAATCACGTGCGGAAGACTTAAAAATCACGCGCGGAAGACTTCACGATCACGTGCGGAAGACTTAAAATCACGTTCGGAAGACTTCACACATCACGCACCCGAAGACTTCACAATCACATGCACCGAAGACTTCACAATCACTTGCGGGAGACCTCACGATCACGTGCCGAAGACTTCACAATCACGTGCCGAAGACTTCATGATCACGTGCGGAAGACTTCATACCACAAGAATATGAGAACCACTGGACGCGGGGCAGCGGACTCGCCAAGCTTGCCAACAATCGATCTACTGGGAGCTCCCAACGCCAGGTGGCGGCTAACCAGACAAGCGAAGAGCAGACAAGCTGTGACATCCGAAACCCGTGAGACGATGGGTCGAGATCCACCGACAAGACCACTAAAATATGGTTTGAGAGCCTCTGTGAGCCTGCTCGCCGTGCGGAGCACCTGGCATGTTTGTTTCGCACATGTCATTCGCGTCTCGCGCATTTCTTCGTGCTCGCATCAGCTTCCCTCCGCACTCTCACCGACATCAGATGCAACAAAACAACAAAAAAAACGGACAGGGTACCAGCGTAAAGCTTTTTTAAAGCACCGTTTCTACCACGCTCACAGCATCTATCATTGCAGGGTTCTTTCGCCTTATTTCTGAATCGCCCAGGACATTCCGTCATCCCATGGAAAGGTGCATGGGCTTCGCGGAGACTCGTTACTGCACAGCTGTCCATAAACGTCGTTCCAAGACGCGGAACACTCGCCCATGGGCCAGAGCACGTATTCTCTCAGGAAGGGAAGCACAGACATGTGTTCCTCACGTGAGGCTAACTCCCACTGCGGAATGCTAAGCACATGTCCCGCAGCCGGCATGGCTAGGCCAGATGTTCCGCTTGGCACGGGGACTACAGACACGCGTTGCTTTCGCGACGGTAGCACCCGTGGCGCTGCACTAAACACGTGCTCCGCAAGTCAGGGACAACACTGCAGGATCCGGAATGTACGTATACGCGAACCAGAGACATACCGAGGTCTGACCACATCTGCGGGAACATCTGATCGAATGCAAGTCATACGCAGGCTGATAGCGTCGTGCGCATACACCCCAAAACGGTCTGCGTAGCTCAGTCAGCATTAGGCGCTTCGTCATACGAGAGGCACACACGCGTGTGGCACGCGTGTGGCACGCGTGTGGCACGCATGTGGCACGCGTGTGGCACGCATGTGGCACGCATGTGGCACGCGTGTGACACGTATGCGGCCCGGCGTCGTGCACCACACACCGCGGTGGTGGATGATTTTTTAACGTCAACTGAAGACTGGTCACGAAAAACGAGCGGAAACAGGACGCAGAGAGGCGTCATGCACATCCTGCGTGCCATGCTCCCGCTGTCCGCGCCCCTGCCTCCCTCCGCAGAACACACACAGCACACATCCGAACCAGTCGGCACGGGGCGAACGCACAGCACACCCTCGCCGCTCTCCAAAGGGAGAGCGTTCGGCGGGAGTGTCGCGGCGTCCAGCAACGAGCCCGGCCGACCACGGTCGGTGAACCCTTCAACGGGCCCCTGAGACCGGTGGTGACTCAGCCGTGACGTCACTGGTCATGTCCGCGATCTGTGTTCAGCAGGAAAAATGTTGGCTCGTTTGTGCCTTGGTCGTGCAACGACGCTCTAGCAACTTTGACCGATCAGTATCAGGGTTGCGAGCAATTAAACAAAAAATCCTTGCCGGTACATCACGCCACGGAGTCTCCTACCACGAAACCCCGCGCGAGGGCGGAGTCACACTCGCATCGAGCTGTAGCACTGTCTCTACAGGTCCCGAAGCCTCATTCTTGTGGCCCGCTCTAACGCTTCGCCGGCCAGTGCCTAGCACGCGCCCACCGGAGCCGCGCCGGGCGGCCGCGGTGTTGGCCTTGGCCGCCGCCCCGGGCGTCGAGCCAAGCCCCTGACGCCGGCGACAGACCGGCCAGCTCACCCCCCTCCCCATCGCCACCCCGCGGCCCCGACAAAGGTCAACCCATCTGTGACCCCTGCGCCACCTCGAGCGCGGCAGAAGCGTCCGGCGGGGAAGCGGCGAATGCGTCGAACGAGACGCCGACAAGGACGGAATGAAAAGCCTTTCTTCGGGGTCCCCACCCAACGCATACCTGTGCTCTGACTCGCATTCATCCCCAACGTGTGCCTATGTTTTGACTCGTGTTCATTCCAATGCGCACGGAGTGAAGACAAAACGTATCCAAACGTGTCACAAGAAAATACACATTCCGCGCGAGTTTGTCACGCTGTTATCATCACTCTTGTTGGCGGGAGTGTCCTGCCGCCGCCCCTCCGAGGGTTCACCTGGCTGCGCGTGGGGTCACGAACGCAGGTCGCTACCAGCGCTGGCCTGTCACGGACCAGCGCTCGCCTGTCACGGACCAGCGCTCGCCTGTCACGGACCAGCGCTCGCCTGTCACGGACCAGCGCTCGCCTGTCACAAACCAGCGCTAGCCTGTCATGGACCAGCGCTGGCCCGTCACGGACCAGCAGTATCTCGATAGAGCCCAACGACGGCGCGTGGGTAAGTCCGCCTTCGCGGCAGTCCCCGCACACAGAGGCCGTGCCGTGTCAAGTGCATTATCACCCGCTAGCCTCTCGTGCATGTGCAGCCAAGCAGGCGGCCAGACACCCAACCACGTCAGCAACCAGCTGGACCAGATGCGCAGCGATTAGCCACGGTGGTCCAGTCCGGTCCGTATGCCGGCCATCCGGTGTGCGAGTTCATGCCTACTTCTTTGAGACCCCAGCCGGGAATACTTAAGATTGGTTTGGGTGCCCTGGCCAAGAAAAGTAATCAAATTACTGCATTTATTTCAGGTTGACTTACACATGCAAAACTTTTGCGTGCAAATGTATCTCCATGGATTTTGGCATACTGTTTACGCTTGGAAGCGTTCTTTTGTGCTCCTGGCACCATTGTGCTTGCAAGTTGCAAATAATTTCGTGGAAGTTCTGCAGGTCGATTCCAATGGTACACTCACTCGCACCGGGTCCTAAGCTACGATTCTGCAGCGGGTCCCCCACCAGACGCCTCACAGAGCAGCCCATCAATTACGGGAGGCGTACATGTTTCACCGGCTGAGCCGATGAACAGATGGGATTCGGATGAAAGTGCAAGAGCTCGTACCTTTTGGCCACATGAGGGAAAATAAGTTATGCGGAACATCACACAGACGGGCCAGTTTTCAGTTTTTTCAGTTTTCAGAGACAATGTTCAAGTTGCTCTTGATACTGTTGTTGCTATTGCAACTGCATAAGTTTCTATTGTAATCGCTTCTGCTATTTTTCGATAAAGGCATGTTGCCGAGATATCAACACATCATTGTCTCCATTCTCCTGGCTTTTCTCCGGGGAATGAGGCCATTACCACTGCCTTATCTATGCGAATAGTGTTCCTCGCAATGCACTTGACAACTTCGTTAGTTAGCCTGTTTTTATTTGTACCCTTCACACGACAGCAATGGCTCTTTTTCGTGTGTTGTGCTTGCATGGTTATGTATTGAGATCATCTGGGCCCGGCGACTGCCGAAGTCATTTGACGCACTTGGAGTGTTTTGAAAGCCACCGTAATGAGGCCGGTTCTTTCTACGTGACGTCATTGGGTCCCCTGTTAGAGTTCAGAGGAGTGAAGAGTGAAGAAGAGTGAAGAAGAGTGAAGCCTTCCCCGGTTCAGGGAACCCCCTACTCTCAGCCGGGGCGTTACGCCAACCTAGCAGTGCTTCTGTTGGGTCCGTGTCATGTCTCGAGTGACAGGCCTGGTAGACCTTACGCGTGACAAAGCTTCATCCCATAGACCCCATAGATGCAGAGCTCATTCACTGAATGGAGAGGCGGAACTTGTCCACTTGCCTGAGAGGAACCATGGGAAGCACGTCCGCAGAAAAATAGACGAAGTTTGTCCGCCAGCTTAGAGATGAAAGACTCATCCACCAACCTGGGAGAGGTAGAGTTTATCCACTGACCTGGGAGAGGTTGAGCTTATCCACTAACCTGGGAGAAGCACAGCTCATACATTAACCTGAGAGAGGCAGAGCTTACCCACTGACCTGAGAGAGGTAAAGTTTGTGCAGTCGCCACTTCCGTCCCAGGGCGTGTAGTGTGACGTCGCTGCCCTCGCCGCCCTTGAACATGGTTTCGTACACGTAGGTCATCGTGGACACCAGCTTGCGTCTGGAAATGGGGCATGCCCAGGTCTCAGCGACGGGAGTCCAAGTGACGGCACTTTGACGGCGAGCGGCGGGTGGGGAGCTGCGTAGAAAATAGGCGACATCGGGACGATGGCAAGAATGTTGCCATCTTCTTCCTCTTCGCGGCGAGTTTTTGGTGTGTTGTTTCGACTTGCCGCACCGATCTGGACCCTGAAGCTTCCTACCCTTGTCCGTACGTTGTCTGTCTATTGTCTTGTCTGTCTATTCGTGTCTGTACTACCTAACTTGTCTGTCTATCCGTGTCTGTGCTGTCTAACTTGTCTGTCTATCCGTGTCTGTACTACCTAACTTGTCTGTCCATCCATGTCTGTACTACCTAACTTGTCTGTCTATCCGTGTCTGTACTGCCTAACTTGTATGTCTATCCGTGTCTGTACTACCTAACTCGTCTGTCTATCCGTGTCTGTACTACCTGTTTGTATATCCGCCGCCAACGAGGGCACGGCAGATGCTGGACACGAGATCCAGCGGCATCCAGAGATCCAGATCCACACGAGATTGAGAGCAGGCGCAATGTTCAGACTGATCGGTGTGAAGGGGTCAGCTGAGTACGGTCAACTGAGTGGGGTCAGGTGAGTCGATCTCACTCGGTGACTGAGTGGTGGCATCACATGACACAAGACAGTTACCCACATACCTAAAGCCGGCCTCGCTGAAAAGGCATATTTCTAAGTGAAAGGAGAGCCGCAAAGCCGGGTAATGTGTCCGAGTTCGCGGCGGCCAGATCAGCAGGACGGACGAACTGTTCCATTTTGAAGCATTCCAAGCCAAGCATTCTCTGAGAATAAACACACCTATACGAACCATGCGGAATAAACACACACAGCAAAGGTGTTGAATTCAGACTGCCTAGCAGCTGCGGCACGGCGTCCCTTATTTTTCCTACCTCCCCACGCCGCCCCATACCGCAGCTTAGCCACGGTGATGGAACACGAAAGGTCTCGCACCCCTCCATCGTATCCCGTTCCGCCCTGCCCTAGTCCGCACCGTTTCGGTGTCCTCATGAGCCGGTCGAAGTCGCCGTCACCGGCGTCCTCATCATCATCCTCGAGCTCCTGGAGCGTCCTTTTGAGGCTGGTCAGCGAGCCAGCTGACTCGGCCAGCCGTCCCAGCACCGCACCCATCGTGCCTTCTGGCTGTGGGAAGGGCGTCAGGTCCAAGAGTGTCAGCCAGGGTCAAGTGGGGGTCACCCAGTCAAGTGTGGTTATCTGGGGTCATGTAGGGTCAAATGGGGGTCATGCAGGGTCACGTTGGGGTCACCTGGGGTCAGGTAGTCAATTGTGGGTCAGCTGAAGTCAATTGGGGGCCACTGGGGTCATGTAGGGTCAAGTGGGGGTCACTGGGGACAGACAGGATCAAGTGGGGGTCAGCCATGGTCAGAGAGAGTCAAGTGGGGGTCAGCTGGGGTCAAGTAGGATCAAGTGGAAGCTAGCTGGTGTTAGCCACAGTTAAGTGGGGGTCAGCTGAGGTCAGACAGAGTCCCCCAGCTGTAATTTGCAGGCAGTCACCCTAGATTTCCCTGTGATGGAATGTGCATGGTCTTTGTGTGGCAAATTAAGGCTCAGCCAGGATTAATGCAGGCTATCTCCAGTCAGGTGAGATCAGTAGGGGTTAGCTGGGATTGTGAAGGGTAGAAAAGACCTGGTGGAGTTCCCCAGGCATCAAATGGACCACCTGAAGCTGGCAGCGGGCTAACAGTGACAGCTGGCATTGAGGAGTCAGTGTGTAACAATACTGGCCAAGAGGGATCGGCATTGGAAAAGTGGTCAGCACTTGATGGTCCAGGGAGCAGAGACTAATTAGGGTGAGCATGGGTCAGTGGAAGCCAAAAAGATACAACAGAGGCAAGTGGGAAATTAAGGCCTTGCTTTGTGCATGGTACAACAACCAATTCCCAAAAATGTGGGATTTGACTTGGGCACTGGAACAGTTCATTTCATGAGCAACCTATCTGTAAGCAGTCAGGCCAAATACCTTAACACCCTGTGGGGCTTTTCTGAGACTGTCCAGGAATTTCACAACTACATATATTCACTTTGCTGTTCGCAGATATTGAACACCCTGGATAAGAAGAAAACTGTCTACATTTCAAGCTGCATTTTCTTTAAAATGGAGAATATCCACAGATAATGATGATGCTATGCTTCTTTCTAATCTCTGATCATAGCTTTCCTCGCAGCATACTTTGCAACACAATTGCATGCATGTTTTTTAATGGAGTTGGTTTTGCAGCAGCATATGACCTTAAATGATGAGCACAGAAAATATAAAAAGTAGCCTGCAAGAGCTCAGTACACCATGATCTAAACCAGATTTAGCCTGGGTAGCCTGAGCAGTGACATCAGTATGTAAACATGGTGTGCCATGTAGCAAGTGTTTTTTGATTGACTTACACCATTTGAAATGCTGAACCGACAAAGGTGTTATGATGTATACATTGGAGGGCAAGGTTTTGAGCACTTTCCCAGTCATTTTCATACACAGAGGCACAGTTTGCCACAACATATTAGAGGATTGCACTGGGAAAATAAGGCTAAAAATACCCTTTAATGATTAGTGTTCCATCTGCAACTTGAGCCACCTCACTTCCAAAGACGCGGGACTGGAGGTCCTCCCCCAGGCACCACAAAATGGGAAACCACGGTCCTGGTGTTACACCTCAATCATCCCTATCTCATGAAGTCATAGAAAACAAACGACTATATGCTTTAAAATAATCCCCAGCCCTCACAATACGAAGATAAGTTAGGTTCACTTAAAAAGAGCGATATTTCATTAACCATAGTCGAAATCACATGTCTGAACAATCAATGCACAGCTCAACATCTTTGCAATTTATCTCAGTAACGTATGCATATCTACCTGACGTTCTGGATACAGTAAGTTCGATCTCAATAACAACCAAGCCCGCAAACAATAACAATCACACAAATTTAGTTTGTCACAGCAGCGCCATTAACATCGCCGTGGCGAGTTCCGTAAAAATGCTAAAAGATAGTCCACTTTGATCGGCACAGTAATGGTTGAAATCCGAACTTCAACACATTTTGTTCCAGAGGTCATGATGTTGGTCTAACCAAGGCAGTTTACGCCTATTTTGTGTTAGAAGGGCGCTGGCTGCTGGCTGAATACGCGGTAATTCCGTTTTTGCCTCGCCAAAAGCAGCACGTCCGTCGCCAGCAGTACATAGCTGTCGTAAGGTGGTTTGGACGGTCCCCAGAAAAGTCGTCGGTTTAAAACAACCAATGTCCATGGAGCTGTCGCAGCCCCAAAAATTCAGGTTCAGATCCGTTACTCAGTGCTTCTGCGACCACCGAGAGTCCCATGACGTCTAACGTCTCCAATCAGTGTGGAAAGACCAAATACCTCAGTAAGCCGCAGCCCAGATGGCCACAGGTGCGCGTCAAGGGTAAGGGTATCGGTCAACAAACGCCACCGTTGGGTGGAGCGACATTTGTGAGCGACACTGCCCACCTAGCACGCGGTGTTTACTAGCAGTCCGTGTACAGATTAATTCGCTCGTTCACCGTAGGACAGCCTCGGCCGTTGGTGCTCCGGCGGTCTCGGCGATTTTGGTACCTAGGTTAGGCGTACTGATCACGGCGATAAACATAAAAGATATTTCACTTAAACGGACCACGATAACATAAACGAACCTCCGCCCAATACTGACCAGTCAAATTTATGGCAGCCACCGCCTCATGAACTGGAAGGAACCGAAAATTACTTAACAGATCTCAATTTGGCATCCGAAGCAACCGGTCCCCGAGACATGGACCAAAACCCAATCTCAGGCCATCAGCACGACGTTCATTCAAATACAACACTTACCCTGTCGCGTTAGTGGCGCGCTCAGAAGGTGCTAGGTGTAAGCGCCGACAGAGGCGTCTTCAGGGTGGGAGATAGAGAGGGAACACAATAAGCATGGTGGGCATCCGCGGAACGTACGTTTTTCCTTGTTGATCTCCGGTCCGAGGGGCATAATTTCCCATTCAGTTGGGGGAGGGGTTCAGTCCCCCCCACCCCGTTTGGGCTCCTTTCCCAACTTTGGGAAGGAGGTGGGCCAAATGTGGGGAGGAACCTGCTTTTAGGCATGTTTTGGGGAGTAGGCTGGGCCATTTTTCACTGTTTAGCCCCGCCCCCAGCCCACTCGCCCAACCACCCATCCAGCTCATTTTGTGAGACTAGCACCGCTGCCCGGCTCTTTCCATCGCAGGCTCATTTTGGAGAGCTTTCATAAGTCCGAACTCATTTGCTGACTGTTTGACGTCATGAAGAGACAAGCTAGTCATAGCATACCACCTGACCAGTGTTCTATTGCTCTGTACCTGGCCAGTGCCAATGGTCGTTGTCCACCGCCATTTGCGACCACTCCCCTCACCGGTTGACCACTCCCCTCACCAGTTGACGCCATGTGCTCACCCCCGCAGTGTCCACGAATCCGAGTCAAGGCACCAAAGATTGGGATTTTCATTGCAGCTTGCAATCTACATGTCATCTTTTGCACACGTGCTTTGTCAAACAAACTTTTCGCTAAGGACCGTTTAGTTACAAAATTTCCCCACTTCCTACATCCGCATATGGTCTTTTGTAAACTTTTGCTTGTATACGTTTGCACGCTAACATTTGCGTTCGAGTAACGAACTACGGACTTTTCCCATGAGATCGTTGGCGCTCACGAACATTTCCATGCGAGCTTTTTTCGACGAGCATTTTGCTTTGCGACCCCTAATCACACCTACCTCTTGAACTACTAAATTTGTCGTTACACACTTAATAACCTGTATGCTTTTCTCACGAACATTTGCCAAACGTACTTTTTCCATACGCACTGTTGTCCACTCACTTTTCCCATCCCACTTTTGCTCTAAAACTCAGCAAAAGACTCTTCATTGGTGTAGGTGGCCGCTCGGCCTCATTGGTGTAGGTGGCGCCTCGCTCGGCCGAACAGGTGGCCCCACGGTCGGAGCTGTCCCGGCAGACGACGCCCGCGGACGGGCCGCGCCAAGCTGACACACCTCCGTCGCCAGACCGGACGCTGCTCAGACCGGACCGGCCGCTGTCCTGACTGGTGAGACTGCCTACGCTGACTGTGGGGTGATCTGGGAATCTCATCTCCCTGATCTGGTCACTTCACTTTAAGGCTGGCTCAATCGGCTGATGCCAAAGGATGAGTCGTGCTAAATAGGATGGAAGCCACGGCCTGCGACATAAGCCACGCAACAGCGTATTTGTAGGCTGCAGCCCATCTCAGGTGAAGATCAGATGTCATGCTCGCCATAAAAAGAACAGACCAAGAAAAGGCTGATTGAGATAACAGCTGGTATTTTGTTCGCACCAGAAAGGAGAAAAACATAGCGTGATCTGAAGGCCAGAGACCGGAAATAAGAAAATCCCAGAGACTTTGAGAGGACCCTTAATGTCATCTGATCGCACCAACGCTCTGCAAGAGCATGTTTACACAAACCGGCATAGTAGCAGGGGCTGAACAATGTGAAACATCCAAAGTTCAGACTTCAAAAACCAGAATCGCCCTGCTCAGGAGTGTAGCTTACTTGCAGGCATCGATCAGGCGAATAAATCGCACACAGCGCACTAGTCCGTTCCTGTTATCTTAAAGTCGCAGGGGTGAAATTACGTCATGACTACGTGATCACACGAATGCGTCATAATTACGTCAGACACGCGAATTAATGTCCAAAGACGTACAAACGTACTTCTGCAGATGCGCGATCGTTGCCTGCTCGTTGGCCGGCGCTTAGTGTTAATCACAGAGCCGACGCTGCAGGCCTATGGAGACTGCAACGTCGGGCGTCGGGGTTTTTGTTTCCAAGACTTGCGAGCGGGTATGCTCAAAACTATGCTGCATATTGTCGTTACCAATCCATACTGATATAACTAGGACATTTACAGACAAAAATGGGTTGGTTAGATAAGTAAAACAAAAATACTGCATTCTAATCCACAATCTACGATCATGGAAATCTTAGATATTTGTGGAATTCAGTAAAGTCCTGACAATGCCTCTGTGTGCCGTCGGTTTTGATAGCGTACTGAACGATTGTAAAATTATCAGGGGCGGTTGCTTGTTTCATGCAGTCATTTCATGGCCACTTCCTTCCGTTCATTGGCTATAAATACAAACAAAATCGCATCTTCCAGTCTACCTTGACATCCGTTGAAGTTAAAGAAGGCAAACAAAAAGCAATACAAAAAATTGTTTGAACCCGAAACCTAGTGAACCATATCCCTTTTTGTGGGAGCGTTTCATCACCAGGGGCGTTTGTCAACCCTGTGCCCCACCCCCTTTTCAGGACTGATTGTGCCCTCGGCCACGAACTGGACGACTGGACGAGCAGCCGCCGGTCCGTCCCTCCTACGCTTGGACGGACGGACCGGACGAACATCCCCCCCCCCCTCATTACCCATCCCAGACCTGAGACGGTAAAAAGGCAAAGTTTTTAAGTAGGCTTGGTCTTCGAGAACCTGGCGCGCTAATGAAAGCTTAGCCATTCCAAGATGTGATGGTGGGTTCGCCCTTGGGGTCGAGTGGGAGTGTTGATGGAGTTTTCGCAAGGGGCCTTGACAGTGCAAGCCGATCACTGGGCGACCCCGTGTAATTCATGCACTTACCCCTCCCCCCCCCTCAACTACTCAGTTACCTCCTTCTCTCCAGCAACCAGGGACATAGCCAAGTGGGGGGGGGGGGGGCATAGGTCATGCCCCGTTCCTGAACTAAGCTCTGTCTTCACTAGATATTGAGCGGTTTTGCAGGAATACCGAACAGTGATAAAACATATGCTACAAACTGGACGAGCTGGACGAGCAGCCGTAAACGTGTACATTTACGGGCCGCTCCTCTCCGGGGCTCTCCTCGTCTTGGAACTTGCGGTTTTCCTCTGGATTAAATAGAAGCTTCAAACGTCGATACACGATTGCCGTCTTTGATGTGGGAAGCAAAACCTGTCACACATTTTCTACCGACCAAAAAAGTTGGCTTCGGTTACCGTATCTAGCCTCCAAACCTACATACAAGAACCACTCAGAGGAGTCCATTAGGATTCGTTCGCGGGGATCGAACCACTTGGCTATTGACCGATACAGAGGCCCCAGCGCCGGTACAGAGGCCCCAGTGCTGCTCCGAATCTGCTTTACTCGCATGAATACTTCAATTCAGACATCGCCAGTGTCCACGCTGATGTCTGATCGCCGTTTGAAACAGGATGGACATACGAGCATTTTTAAGATGAGACAGCGAGAGAGAGAGAGAGAGAGAGAGAGAGGAGAGGAGAGGACGAGAGAGCGAGAGAGAGAGAGAGAGAGGAGAGAGAGAGAGAGAGAGAGAGAGAGAGAGAGAGGAGAGAAGAGAGAGAGAGAGAGAGAGAGAGAGAAAGAGAGATAGAGAGAGAGATGTGTATATATATATATGTATATATATATATATATATATATACATATAAGCGCTATATATATATATATATATATATATATATATATATATATATATATATATATTGTCGGCGACGGCGTTTATCGTTTTCTACTGCGCCGAAAAGTGTCTTATTCTAGTAAATCCTATTCTTGTTTTGAGCAGCATCTATCCCAATGATTTCGTACGATGAAAATGTGGTGTATTAACCTTGTGTATATTAGGCGTTAGTGCTGCATGGTATGCAATGAGAACACATGTAAAATATTTTGCAGCGTGTGTTGGCATTGGTTATACGCACCCGATGCGTGATTCCATTATACCAGAATTTCTACCTTTAAACCGACTTTGTTGCAGCCCGGTCAATGTAAACGCTGACGTGGGCTAAGACCTTGCTAGTCCCTGTCTGCTAGGCGCAGCATCCTTTCTCAGCCGAAGGCATCGATGTTTGATAGACGAGTAGGCCTCACATTTCTCTATTGGCTAACGGCTGACATTTATCCGGGCACGTAGGCTGGTTCTTCTCAACAAGTTGCTTTGCATCTACATTGCATTTAACAGCCATGATAGCTATCGGAGCAAGCAGAGCATTGACGTTGTCCAGAAATGTGACCTGCTTGATCGGAGGAAAAGGATCCATCACAGCACGCGACACCCCAAAGAAAATCCAGCTTGTGGCTTCTTGCCTAGCAGGCACGTTTTCACGACTTGCAACAACGCCGAAATTACAGGACTAGAAGGACGCGCCGGGTCACCTGACGTGCATCATCGTCAGCGCCGGGAGCGCAGGTCATCAGCAGCGAGCGACCGACGACGTGACCTTGTGCCCGCGCGGCTGCTGGGACCGCACCCCGCTACCGCGTGCAGCGCTGAACTCGATAAGCAGTCGGTCGGAGCTGCGTTGCTGAGGGCCTACGGTGAGGTCAACAAGGTCGCGTGGGTCACAGGGTCACAGCGTCACAGGATTTCAGGGTCTCTGCACTGTCAAGGTCTGGAACGCTGGCCCCTTGGAGTCACCAACGCATTCTCCTGGGCCTTCCTCCCTGCTCGCTTCGGTGCAATTCGGGGTCGCTGCCGTCTACAGCACGCGATACCGAACCGGCTTCTGCGCCGGTTTCAACACCGGCCGGGGCTCGAAGGGCCAAAACTGAAATCGTCCCTGAAACAAAAAGCGTGCCATGTTCGACAATATCATCGCACAGTGTTCGAATGTTTCAGCTTCTTCGAGACGCTGTGTTGTCGTGGTTTAACCCTAAGGCAGTCAACAGGTGACCTTGTGGGGTCACCTGTTGTGTGGGGCGTGGTGTGGGGCGTGGCTAAGGGTCTGGAGCAGCCTGTCGGCTGCTCCAGACCCTATTTACATTGGCTGTGAGTCCTCCTAGCCCGTTGTTCTGGCTGTCTGAACGGCGGCTGAACTCCTGCATGTCTTCTGCCTCAGTGAAAGTTTCAGAAAGCATAGATAGTGACCTTCAGCAGGTGACTACGGTGTGGAGTACAGTACGTGACTACAGTATGGACCACAGTGCATGACTACAGTGTGGACCACAGTGCGTGACTACGGCATGGACCACAGTGCGTGGCTACGGTATGGACTACAGTACGTGACTACAGTATGGACCACGGTGCGTAAATACGGAATGGACCACAGTGCGTGACTACATTATGGATCACAGTGCGTGACTACGGTATGGACCACAGTGTGTGACCGCAGTATGGACCACAGTGTGTGGCCACAGTATGGACCACAGTGTGTCAAACCACTTCAGCTGTGGGTGGAGCACAGGCGTTAACGGTTGGTGCAGAACGAACTTACAAGAATGACTTTTCGCATATGTTCAACATGGAGCTGCTGCCAATGCTGCTGCCATCTATCGACGAGTTTTCGAAGCACACCTTGTGAGCGCAGCGTGTGGCAGCCAAACTCTGACGGTATCGCGGTAAGTGGATAATCTATGGCTACCTTAATAATAATGCGGGAAAAATAGCCGATCTACCTATCACAGTAAATTGATTATCGTGCCCTTCAGAAAGCATCCAGTATGGCCACAGTATTGGCTTTGACACCGCAAACAGCGCCGGTACTCCACCTGGTTCAGCATGGCCTCCAGCACCGCCACCCGCACCAGCTTCATCCCCGTTTTCATCAGGCGCTACTGCACCGGCTTCAGCTCTTCGTGACCGTAGAACTCGCTGACTCCGATGAAGAGGCCGTACGCCATGTTCAGCAGGATGGCAACGAGGACGATCGCAAACGTTACCCGGAGGCACAACGACACCGCCTGTCCCAGTGACGTCATCATGGGTCGCCGGTCAGGTCACCGCCGGGCCCCGAGGCCGGGGCGGCGACGGCCAACCTGCGGCAGCAGCGGAAACAGAGGCGGTGTTGGGCCAGTGGGCAGAGGACTGTGGTAGTGACGTTACTGGTGGGAGAAAGGCGGTGGTGACGTCACTGGTGGCAGTGAAAGGCGGTAGTGACGTCACTGGTGGCAGAGAAAGACGGCAATGACGTCGCTGGTGGCAGGAGAGATACGACGCCACTCATCATCTCGTCACACAATGATGAGATGATGAGTGAAAGTGGCACCATTTGTCTCAGGAGGGGTACGGGTGATGGCTATGTGTGATGGCCGATGGTGATGGCACGCGGAGGGGTATGGCCGGTGATGGTACCCTGTGTGGGCAGCGACTTACAGCTGTCTCATGACGGGTCACAAAATGCGCGATTGGCGATGTCACGTAGTGATGTCGATGACGTCACACATTGTGATAAATCACAACAGCATGAGTGGACGCGCGATAAGCCGCCTTCACAAAAATGACCTTTCGCAGATGCTCAACATTGAGCTTCTGCCAATGCTGCTGCCATCTATCGACGAGTTTTCGAACTACACCTCATGAGCACAGCGTGTCGCAGTCTAGCTCTGACCGTGACCACTACACTCATCCAACACGCGTTAATTATAAGTTGTTTCATAGCTATGACGTCATATCTGATTCCAGTCAAAAGGATGCATGCAGCGCCACGGAAATGGAGGCTCTACGTTGATGAAAGCACACCAAGAACATGATAAAAACGCACAAAGGCCAAGCTAGCGCCTGGTCACTGTTCAAGTCTGGATCTGAACAAAGCACTGCTTCGTGAGGTCGCAACGCCGGCGACAGAAGGCCCGGGACGATGACACACGCTACCAGACGCCTTGCGCGACCGCCTAGCAGTCCTTCACACAGCCTGTCGGGCTACCTCAGCCTGAGCGCCGGCCTCGTGTTCAGTCACAGCGGTGTGGAGGGAGGACAGTACACTAGGACAGGACGGGACAGTACGCTAGGCACCTAAAACACCAGACACTCTCACGCACTCACACAGACACGACCTGTCTCAGGACACTCTTACCCCTCTCTGCATCTACTGGCAGCTCACCAGACGCTCAAACATGCCTCATCAAAGGGGCTGGTTTCGGCAAGCTTTTGCCCAAAGTCCAATCCGATGTCCAGAGATGAACCAACCGTCCATCCAAAAAGTATAAAAAATCGGATTTACAAAATACTAGGGGTGTCTGAGGTCAAAGCCACTGCAACTTGCAACCAATGACGGCAACCGTCTTTCTTGTTGCTGCATTCCTCCCTCAAATCGAAAAAGCTAAGTAATGTGCGTCACTGACTTCCGTAAAAACATCCACAACTTACAATACACATCGACGTCCACCAAGCTCAACTATGACTTACGCCAACGGCGGAAGCTGGGCCGGATAGCGGGTAGTAATGAATCGGAACTGGATGACCAATGAGAAGCAAAGGCTTTCCTAATGACAGTAACATCGATCACCGATCGATGTCTTTTACTACAGACACATGCTGCCCTGCTAATACTGATTCTCCGACACATGCTGCCCTGCTAATACTGATTCTCCGACACATGCTGCCCTGCTAATACTGATTCTCCGACACATGCTGCCCTGCTAATACTGATTCTCCGACACATGCTGCCCTACTAATACTGATTCTCCTATCTCATGTTTGAAATGGAAGTCTTGGCCAGTGTGCTCTATCAATGACTTGTTTATGTCCCAAAATCAAATTATGCCAAAACGAGCAGCATTCAATAAGTTGAGATGCGTACCACCTTGCGACACAACATAATTACATCGGTTGCCCCCCCCCAAAAAAAATAAGCACAGGATTTCTTATCCCTGCCCGCTTGATTTACAGATAAGGGTTTCAAAACTTTTGGAATTTCCAATAAATCTGGAATCCAATCGACGCCTGTATACCCCACTTGTCACGGCTCCCGTCGACTGCTCAGCGAATTCGCTGACTGCTCACCGAACCCACTGACTGCTCACCGAACCCACCGACTGCTCACCGAACTCGCTGACTGTTCACCGAACTCGTCGACTGTTTATTCGTCGACTGTTCACCGGAATCGCCAACTGCTCACCGAGCCCTCCAACCGCTCACCGAACCCGCCTACTACTTACCGAACCCACCGACTGCTCACCGAACTCGCTGACCATTCACCGAACTCGTCGACTGTTCACCTAACTCACCGACTGCTCACCGAGCCCGTCGACTGCTCACCAAACCCACTGACTGCTCACCTAACTCGTCAACTGTTCACCGAACTCGCCGACTACTCACCGAACCCGCCGACTGCTCACCGAACTCGCCGACTGTTCACCGAACTCACCGACTGGTCACCGAACTCGCACGAGCAATGCTAACCCGACGTAGGTCGCGCTGCACCGTGCAGTGTGCTGTGTCGGACTGCACCGTGCAGTGTGCAGTGTCGCACCGCACCGGTCGACCAGGGATCGCAGACCCGTCACCGGACCCGCATCGGCCCACGTATTGACCCCCGGTTGCGGTGCTGCCGGCCACCACCGGCCGCCGCATGTTGTGTTGGTCGTGCTGTTGCTTGGATGTGCAGGGGCGCGCGCAGGGAGCTTTCGGCCGGGGTGACGCGCAGGGGCGACGCCAGTGATTTAGAGAAGGGTTTTGGCGTTTACTTTTGGAGAATGTCGTATGATTTGTGTTTGAAAAGGGAGGCGCGCGTGCGCATTGTCGCGAAGCGGCACGTCATAGTGCCTAGGATCCAGAGGTCTAGCTTTCGAATCCTACAAGTCGTGAAGATTTAAATAAAATAACGCGAAACCTGTATGAGAAGATTGAAGATCAAGAATACGACCTCAATGGCGCGGGTTCCCTGGCCCGTGGGTAAGATCTTTAACCTGTGTGATCTGTCCACTGATTATTCCTAGCCATAATTTTGCAACTTGACTTGTGTCACAATCTAATTTCGCGTTGCGGACTCAGATGACTACGCTGGTTTTTCATTTTCGGTCGGTGAACTGAACCGCTACTCCAGCAGTTCTCTGTTTCGACTGCGCGGGCTGCGGCGACGGAGTCCCAGCGACATGGTAGCTTCTCTACCAAGAAGCAACAGGCTTAAACACCTGCCTACTGTTCGGACAGTTGAACGTTCCCCATATGTCTATTATGTGTATATATAAATATATATATATATATATATATATATATATAATATAGAAAATATACATAAGTATCAGCCTGCGACCAGAAGCTAGTACATGGAACAAACATCCTGCATCCTTATAGTCTGCCATGGGCTCTGTGAAAAATTGTCTGATTCCTATAAAATCAAGGGATGGTCATATTTTTCATTGCCCATTGTCACAACAATGAACTAATCCATACCTGGTCCCTCCCGCCCTCCCCCAATCAATACTACCCAAGCTGCTCAAAGCATGTATGGCTAGATAAGAAAACGAGCTAGATTGTCTTGCCTCATATGCGCATTGTATGTCGCACATGACCTCCCAGGGATATCACCAGTAACTATTTCCGCGCAACACGCAGCTTGTGAGAATTCGGTTTCCACATTAAGTAGTCTTGGAATGCAGGTAGCGTGGCACTCTAACCTCTGCGAAGCTTGACTCCTAGCCCATCATGGAAAGACTTGAAGAGATGAGCTTAAGGCATCTTGGTGGAAATGACAGCCGGCGCATAGGTTAGCCTATCTTTAGTTCAGATGTTAAGTTCACAAGCTTGCCTGGAGTTCAGTTCATTTCAGTTCAGTTCCTTGCTGGCGGTAGACGTGGGTAGAATGAATTGGGCTCTTGTTGGGCTTGTTTGTGGGAAGTGCAATTGTGAGTCGAAATTCTCATTATGTTCAGGCAATAGGTAAGCTGATCTTACGTTTAAAATTTGTGCTGGCTTACCGCTATTGCAAGAACTGCAATCCTATGTTGAATTGTTGATATGCTTTCGTCGACGGCATGGCTAGTACCGGTAAGCTGATCTTACGTTTAAAACTTGTCCTGGCTTACCGCTATTGCAAGAACTGCAATCCTATGTTGAATTGTTGATATGCTTTCGTCGACGGCATGGCTAGTACTGGTTAATAGAACCGTAATCACCTGGGCTAGCAATCAAAACAGATTTCCGCGATTCGTAGAGACTAGAATGCTGCGTGTCACGGTACTTGCATTCCAAGACCACTTAATTTGGAAGCCAAATTCCCACAAGCTGCGCGCTGCGCGGAAATCGTTATTGGCGATATCCCTGGGAGGTCATGTGCGACACACAATGCGCATATGAGACAAGACGATCTTGCTGGTTTTTTCACATAGTCATGCATGCTTTCAGCGGCTCATATAGTATTTGGGGGGGAGGGGTTCAGGTATGGATAAGTTCACTGTTGTGACAAACGGCAATGAAAAATATGTCCATCCCTTGATTTTATAGGAAGCAGACAATGTTTCACCAAGTTCAGGGTATGCTATAGGGATGTGGAATGTCTGTGCCATGTCTTTGGTCCTGGACTGAAGTTTGGCAAAGTTTAGTTCAGTATCTGCAATATTGTGTTTGAAACTTGTTCAGTGCATTTGCGAGGAATATTATTCACATACATAAACAGCAGCAATAAATAGTCTTGCTATATCTCGGAAAAAAAACCAGGGCAATGGAGACATAGATGGATTCTTATTATTGTTTATCTTCTGCTATTGTTTCCATAAAAGTATGCTGCTGAAATATGAACCCATCTCAATCCCCATTCTCCTGGATTTTCTCCGAGGAACGAGGCTATATTTATATTACCACCGTCTTGTCAATATTGTGTTTCCTGCTTATACCTTACAATAGCAAACTTTGTACTGATCTTGTAGAGAGGTTTGCACTTAATGTTGCATGCTCTTCTTTTCATTAACACCCTGAAATGGCTTGTTAATTTGTCTGAGGGTGTTATGTTTCCTCATGTTACTTACCATTTTCATTTGAACCATGTGACTCACTCTCCATAGCGTTAGCAATAATTAATGACGGACTCGTGATTTTGTTCATGACATTCACGAATGATGTAATTCATTTTGCTCATAACTCAGAGCGGCATTTTTCCCCGTGAGCCGATTC